ATATATACAAAGTTGGGAACAGAGTATGGGTGAAAACTCCCCATGGCCGGTGTACCTCCAGGTATCAAGTGGGTCGCATGACGGACATTGTAAGTCCACAAACAATACTAGTTGATGGGATGCCACGGCATGTAAAAGATCTTCACCTTTTCGTTGATTCTGATACATCGCTGAGTGAATCCGATGATGATTCATTGTCGGACAGTGAGCGGATAATTGAGATCTGTGAATCTGATGCTTCCACAGACACAGAACTTCTGGAAACTCGAGATATGTCCGATGACTCCTCCAGAGACGACTCTCCAACATGTGCAAGGGAAATAGTGCCATTACAGCGAAGCACCAGGATAAAGAGAGCTGCTCCAGGCTGTTCGATTTGTGATAGTGAGATCAGGGGGGAGTATAGCAAAGAAAACGGTGACTTACCTCGTCAAACTAAGCGACAGCGCGTCACATGTATTCTACGACGGAAAATGTGGTGAAAAAGAAAATTACTTACCAAACAAAAGGGCATGTATTCCACATGACATGCTGAAAATGGAATATTTGAATTAAAAAACAAATCCATCGCAGGAGTCGCTATAAAATTATGTTGATATGCAAATTACTGAATATCCTCTCCCAGCTGTCAACGAATGGAAAAAAAAATGTTTGGCCGATAAAAGCATTTGGTGTTCTCGAATCGGGGGAAAAAAGTCAGCAATTTTGGCTGCCACGTTGGTTGGCGAAGGAGTTATTTTTCTGACTGGTTGCGTGCATTGTGATTTGTGAAATAGTACTTGTGAATTGAGTTTTCAGCATTTTCTTTCTGTCCCCGATGTTAGAATCTGAACTTAGTGATTTATTCTCTGTGACAAACATTTCCTTTGCAACCCCAGATCGCTTACAGTTCTGCTGATTTTTAATGAGTACACTATTCAGGGAAATACTGACCTTAGGAAAACAGAAAAGTTTGCCTAATTTTGCTGAAGTTGCAGAATATGTAAACATATTTTATGCTTGGTGGACAATACTGAATGTAAAAATACAATATAAAGGTTGTTAACTTAGAAATAAATATTGTAATCCACTTAGAGTAAATGAAAAAAATTTTAGATTTCTCTCTGTATTCTGTAACTGGTTAGAATCTTGGAATATCATTTCTGGAAGGAATGGCAAATTAACAAAGGAAATCTTCACTGCTTTGCATCATGCAACCTAAGCATTTTTAGAACTGACCAAGTATTTTATAGAATAATTGAAAATGCCATACATATTACCTGGCAAGTTTTAAATTGATCACCTCAGGGCAAATCTGTTGCCTCTGAGTGTTGACTTCACTTTTATATTTATATTCACTCTACCTCTGATATTGAGCACTTTATCCCATAAATATAGCATACCTTAAAACAATATTTCTTATATATATATATATATATATATATATATATGTGTGTGTGTGTGTCCTGAGTAAGACCATAAACTACACTGACATTAAGGCCTCTGATCAGGAGGATTTGAGGAGTGTGGAACCACCTACTAATTGATGCTGTCCCCAGGTCCAACCTGGAGTGGTAGCACCTGTTAGGGTCCCATCTATGGGTAAATAGTTACCTCACTTCCCTAAACTGGTGTCAGGTGGGACATGGCACTGGGATAAGACTCCGAGATAACACCTGTGACTTTTGTTGGAATCCAATGAAATTGACTTTATCTTCTTTTATGTAAATATCACCTTTTGCTTAGAGAGTGGGGCTGGCTCTGTGCACTGCCTTTTCCCACTATAAAGGTTTCATGCACAGATATTGCTTAATATCTGGAGATCTTTTCTGCACTTGTCAACTTAATGTAGAATTATGGCTGGCTATGGCCTAACAAGGCAACTTGCATTACAATGATGGGATTTAATTCAATCAAAGTCAATAGCAATAAGGGCTCTGAAACCAGATATGAGAGGGTCTGGCCCAGCAGGTGTCAATAACTAGTCAGTTGGAAGAGTTTCCAACAGGTGTCAATGATAGAATAATCACTATAAGAGTTACTCTAGTATATGGAAGATATGCAACATTGATTAGTGTTTATGCACCAACCATGGTTTGCACAGATGAAGTAAAGGAAGATTTTTATAATGAACTAAAGTCTCTTGTTAGCAGACAAAATTTTTATTCTTGGAGATTTTAATGCACGGGTGGGTTGTGACTGTGAGGCATGGAAAGTTCTTGGTAAACATGGGGTTGGAAAGTGCAACAGCAATGGTCTGTTTCTGCAAATGTGCACAAAACTGGACCTGTTCATTGGCAGCACAATGTTTCAACAAAATGGATACATCCTGAATCAAAACAGTGGCACATGATTGACTATGTTCTTGTGAGGTGCTGTGATGTACAGGATCTATGTATTGTGCGTGTGATGCGTGGGGCTGAATGTTGGACTATTGTCTGGTAAGAGCAAGAGTTAAGTGTGTTGTACATAAAAAGGAAAGGGGAGGAGTATCGCTTCCAAAGAGGCTGAATGTTAGCCATCTGCAAGTTTCTGAGGTTAGACAGAATCTAGTCAATAAGATGAATGCATTAGTAAGTGAAAATAACTGGACTTCTTTCAAGGAGACAGTGTGTGAGGTATGTGCTGATGTTGTTGGATTTACTGATAAGAAGCCTCATGATTGGTTTGATCATAATGACAAGCACATAGAATAGATCTTGGAAGAGAAAAATAAACTCCACTCTGCATTACTTCATAGTGATTTACCTGGTGATCAGAAGAAGGAAATTGAAGTCAAGTTAAAGACAATAAAAGCTGATATACAGCAAAAGCTACACATGAAGAACAAATGGTGGAGTGACAAAGGCAGTTTGCATCAGATCTGAAGGATAGTAAGGCCATGTACAATCTACTTTGTGAAGTTTACGGGCATTCTACTTCACCTGTTGCTCCTTTAAGGACTAAGGATGGCAAAAAATTTCTTTGAGATCCCGATGATATTCTGTTGAGATGGCACGTACAGATTGTGGTAGAGTGTATTTGTCGATGGCTGGTCTAAGGAGTCACTTGAGAATGCACCAACAGAGGTTGGCAATTGACTATAAAGCTGTAGACATCCAGCAACTAATAATTATATATAGTATTTATTTGTTATATCTCTTTTTCTTTATATTTTTTCCCTATTTAATTATAATTTATATTTTTCTTTTAATATTTAACATGACTAATATTTTTCTTAATCTCATTATACACACTAATTTATACACATAATTTTAAGTGTTGATAGTCCATGAAGTTAAAATATAAATTTTGTCTTTTTATGGCGGTCATAAAATTTTGTACAACCAACCATATATATGTATGTGTGTAGAGAGAGAGAGAGAGTAGTATCACTTTACATGAATACACTCACATTAGCATTTTTTTTTTTTATAGAAGTTTGTGAACAAGAATTTATGTACAATTAAAACACATTTTATGTCTTTAAATGATATAGATTTTGATGGGAGTAATTTTAACAATACATTTTTTTTTATTTAATAGTCTTTTCAAAGACATCATAAAAAATGACAGCATGGTGGTGCAACACTCAAGATCAAGGAATTTGCAGATTTCTGAACACTATTGTACCATGTTGGAATTAAGCTTTAATGAATATCACTTATGGCCTCAACAAAATGGAAAGTCTACAGGCAAAAGGCCTAGCTAGAGATGGCAGGAGGAGGAGAAAGGCAATAAATATTGGTAAATTGGAAAAACGAGAGAGGGAGTGGTTGTTGGTGGCACATTTAACCCTAACCCTGCAAGAAATTTGTTTAGGTCATAAAAAAGTTAAAATACTACATTGCACTGAAATCTCCAATCAAGATTATCATCAAATAGCATAAAAATGAAGATTGTGATCATGTGACAAAATATAATTAAATTCCAATTATATTATGCTATAAATTACAATAAAAAATAATTTTACTGTGTTTATATATATATATATATAATTATTTTAAAAAAATTGTGTATGTATGTGGGTGTTGGTTTAACCCCCCTCCCTTTTTTTCTTTTCATAAAGGGCCGTGGAGATGTTCCTGTCTCGTCTCTTTTTTGTGTGTATATATATCTAAATATGTCTGGGTGCTTATGTATTATAATCTGATTGTATTTGTGTTGTTTTGCACATGAGTTTAAGACCCCATTCACACACTTGGGATTAAAATGTATATACATGTATTGCCGTATGACCAGATGTTGTAGCGTCTGTTCTAACGTAATTTCAACGAAGAAATAAATTGAATAACATATGTATTTCTTCTTTTCTCCTCAGTAATTTTATAGTTTTTAAACTTAATAGTGATTAAATTTGGATTTTTAAAATTGGCAGTTTTTAATTTTAATATCAAATTTTATCATATAATTTAATAATTATTGGTTAGAATAAATTCTTTTTTAATATTGCCCATATTTTAAAGATCTGATTAGCTATTATGACATGATTTCATTGTCAAGCTTTTAAATCTTCCTATACTTGGGTTTTGATTGGTCATTATAGCTTTTGTAACAACGTTTTCCCTTTACGAAGGATCATTAATTAATTTGAAACTTTTAAAACCATTTATTTTACATTTAACATCATCACTTGATAAGACACCAAGCGTGTTGAAACAAAATGGCTATTATTTATGTTATAAATTTTTTTTTTTTTTTTTTTTTAAATAATTATATCTGCTTTACTTTGTATTGAGCACTCTTAAGAATAATAATTGTTGGTTATTGGAATTCATTCCGTATACACCAATTATATATATATATATATATATATATATATATGTGTGTGTGTGTGTGTGTGTGTGTGCATGTGTATAAATTTTCAGATATACCTAAAATATATATCTAAATGGAATAACTGTAATATTAACATCAATAAAATTTAGTTAATTCCCCTAGATTAAATTTTGACACACACACGAAATTCATTTAAAGTATACATGTATCAAAGTAATTTTCTTTATAGATTCAAGCAAAAGTTGTTTCTAAATCTTACCTACCTCTCTAGATATATACAAAAATAAAGCCCAGGGTAAGAGTATCAATCCTGACACAAAAGTAGACAAAGAATGAAGGCGTTTTGCCCCACCGACGTCAATAGAAAGCTTTTTGGAGGCATTATCAAAGCCAGTTTGCAGAAACAATGTCAAAAATAACAATACAACACCTCCCTGAAGAAGAAAAGGAGACAATTACAGTAGTTCAAGTAATGAATTCAGTTTTTCTTTTGATCACAGGGGGGGGGAAAAAAAACAAAGAAAAAAAAAAAAAGAATATGAGAGACAAAATCTCAATATATAGATTTTGACATTAAAAACTTATAATCAGAGGAAAAAAGAAATGACAAATCGTTAATTCTGGAAAAATTGATGAGACAGAGTCTGAAGTTAGCATCAAAAGAGAAAAATTAAAAATGATAAATGTTGTGCAAACAAGAGTATCAAACACTATTCTTGTAATTAAACAGTCTAATAAATAAATAATATTCAATATTTTTGTTGTCAAACTCACAAACCATTTTAATGAAGTTATGTGGCAAGAGCATATTTTTATATACTTGTAGATATAAAATTATTGTTACAAATAAATAATTTAACAAAATTGTGTTTAATACTTTTCTTTTAAATTTGAGAAAAAAGAAAGCATAAAAATTCAGTTTCATATGTTTGGGTTCTATTCAAATTAAATGGTGTGTGATCAGGTAAGATTTTAGTTAAAGTTTAACGTGTTAAACAGGCTTTACAACATTTTGAGAAAAGGAATAAAATTAGTAAAGTCATTTAAAAAAAAAAAAAAAATGAAAGGGAAGAAGGGAAAGAAATAGACCTTATGATCTGACCATCCAATTAAGTCAAAGGCATGATGAAATATCCTTGTTATGAAGTTATTATGAAGGTCATCAGCTAATGGAAAAAAGTCAAGGAAAAAAAAAGTCAAAATAAATCCTTTCAAAAGGTAAAATTGTAAAACAAATGATATCCAATCAGTTTTTAATGCATTAACAATTATTACACAACAAAAGTGAATACATACCAGAACACATTTGCATTTCAGTGTGAGATTTATCTTTTTCTATATTTTTAGCAGCAGATTAAACATCAATTTAAAACAAAAACTATTTCCACAGATATTCTATATGAAGATATTTCATTGTAGAAATAAAAATCATTGCATTATATTACACACCATTTTAAATTATGAGGTTACAAATTATGTAAATTAAGTATAACACATACAAACAAATCTTTTTTCTGCTATACAAATTCTGTACTAAACTAAACACACCAATTCCAAATCTGTATTTGGAATTGTACAAACATGTCAGGTATTTTAAATAATGCTCAAGGTAATTAGTATGTTACTAGTGCATTTATGTTCAAGGAGAATTTAGATAACAATAGGAAATAACTGAATGAATATAAAATAATCATTATATTCCTTCAACACTAGGGTATTATATCACTATCTTGGTAGAGTCTCTCACTATACAGTGCTTTGTAGCATTCAGATCTATTGAAGAAAAAAAAAATTCAAGATGAGAATGTCAAAAGTGAATTTAAGAGAAAGTACATGAAATAAATTTCACACACATAATTCATACAGCCTTTTTTATTCAGGATTCAATGCAATAAACACAGCTACAGTAACAGAATGAAAGCTACAAAGACCACATATTACAGCAGCACAGATAACACTGAGTTACCAAGAACAAATTGAAGGCACTATAATAATTATCACATTACATATTTTACATTAAAATTTATAATGTTCTGTTAAAAAAAATTCCTAAAAACTAACAGTACAGTTTGAAAAAACTTCTCATAAGACAAGGTTTTCTCAATCATACACATAATGCAGATGTTCTAGAACAGATTCAGAAATAGTATATTCAATTTAGTCTAAAACATGCTTTTACTCCAGTAGCAATCCGAGGAGCTAGAAGCCATTTTTTAAGTGCAAGATAAATAGCACAATCAGAATTAATAAAGTTTGCTATGAAAAGAAAAAAGGTCAAAAATATGAAACAGCAACAATCATACAAGCAAGCAAACAAATTGGTAAGGTGAAAGAATTCACAAACTAGGAGTTGGTGTTTGTACACAAAAGCAAGGTTGACCAAGTGAATGCAGTAGGTCTGTCTAGTAGTTAAGGCAGATCTGGACTGAGTCATGTCAAAACACAAGCCAACCCATTTTATTGAAAAATATACTAGCATGTATTCTGTGTCCTTCTGACTATAAGAGGGGGAGGGGGAAAACTTTTACAATCATTCTCACTGGGAAATCAACACAAACTCCTTGTTGTTCAGTGCAATTTGAAGAAAGGATACATTCATGATCTGAAATGTGGTGAAGACGATCATCATGGTCAAAGAGAAGGAGAGCAACAGCACCAAGAAGAAAAAACAAGGCTCCTCGAAGCTGAGAAAAAAAAAAATTCATTGTAGTCAAAATAACTTTATTGCACAAAAGTGAATCTCAACACAAATCATAGACAAGAACTAATATCTCCATTTTTATTGCAAAATGGATTAAGTATACAATGTTCACTAAATGAATAACACAAAACAAATTACAATTCATGGAATCCAATACAAACATGCACTAAGAACTCAGAAATAAGCAACAAAATATAATCAATAATAAGTACATTTTCAGGTAACCAATGCATATGACATGTTGACATACTGACAAAGTAAATAGATCTTGCTCTCTCTTGCTCTTGCTCTTATATTGCATCTTAATAAGATTCATGAAAATCAACTTCAAAGCATTTTGATAAAACTCTGTTTCCCTAAAATAGAAAGGTGTGTTGAAAGGTTCATGACAAACCAAAAGGAAAAAAGGGATTAAAAAAATTCTGATGTTTCATTATTTCTTGAGACTTTGGGCAATGGGCGAGGCAGAGAACTTTTCAACACTCCCTTGTATGAAAGCTTTATTTTATATTTTAATCTAAAATGGCTGTATTCAAATTTAATGTCAAGAACTGGAAATTATGTGAAAATTGATTTTCTTAATATGGAATTTTTCTATTGAAAACAATTTTGAAAGCTAAACTAATACAGTTTTCCTTTCTTTACCTTAGCTGGTCCCAATCCACTGCTTGAGAACAAGGCTCCTGCCCAGGCAATAACCACAACTTCATTATGTTCAAATAAAAGAATTGTTCTAAAAAAAAAAAACAGAAAAAGTGATTTAATAAGCAGTCAAAATAACTTCAGTAAGAAAAGTGTTTATTATGTTTTATACTTAAATATTGGGAAAGAATTTTAATGTAACAAAATATAGCAAATTCTTTATTAATGATGAGCATTATTGCAAATGATTCATAGTTAGAAAAAGCCAGCATCTGGTTTCCTTACATTAGTAGCAAATAAAGATTAACACTGTCATTTAGATTGTTTTTTTCTTCTCCCTAGCATTTATTTCAATGGCAAAATATTAAAAGAAAATTATATAAAGTAAAAGTTTGAAGTAGCTTTAAATTTTTATTTTGCAAAAAGTCCTTAAAATTTTGATTCCAATTTTTAATATATAAAAAAAAAAAAAAAATTCCTAACTTTTAAATAATAAAATTTTAAAATCAAGTTTGAATAAAAGTATTGATAGGAAGTCTTGAAAAAGATTAAAAAAAAGAATAACATGCAGATGAATGTCTATCAAAGTTGTACATACATATACATATATACACACACACACAAGAAAATTTCACCTGAGTGGTCCACATAACGTCAGCCCAAATAACCACAGGAGACTGATTATACTGCCAATGATTGCATGACGAAACACTCGAAACCACTGCAAAAGGAAAAACAATAACAGTATTTCTCAAAAAAAAAAAAAAAAAAAAAAAAAAAAAAGATTTCCAAACTGAACCGTTCCACTGCCGATGTATAATGATATTTTGTCTAGAATGAGAACAGTCTACCCCATAGACTAAATAAAGGGTTCAGTTAGGAATTCTGTTTAGGTTACCTGGATCAATATGCACCTAATGAAGGGCAGAGGGCATGTGACACTATTTAGCGTTTGGCTAACTAATTAAGCATGAAAATTAAAAGCGGGAAATACTTAAGGTGAGAAGAAGCTATCACGAAAGACATACTGAGTGATGTTATTTTTTTAACAAAAGTGGTAAAGATTTTATTTTCATTTGTGAAGAAAAGTATTTTTCTCGCAGAAGATAGGAAATTCGTAAGATCTCGGATCTGTCAGAATGAATTTATGCCATGACTCGGCAAATAAAAGATAGCAATCTGCCCATGGCAATAATGATAATTTCCAATTTGGTCAAGTGGCTTACAAAGTGGAATGCTAGAAGATAATCAGAATTAGGTCGAGCATGCGACCGAGAAAAGGATCAGCTGAGACCACCCCAAAGAAAAAGGGATGAAGAAGAGAAAAAGGAAAAGAATAAACCATTAACTATCTTTTGGAGATATCATTTGGTTTTGGAAGAGAACCACCTGTTTTATGTCCAGACCTTGCCATGATAAAAGTTTGTTACCTGGACAGACTGTTGGTGACAGAAGTACGAAGATGTTGAGGATACAAAAAGATTCACTTGACCACCCCGATAATCACTTGGCGAAAATCTCGTTGATGAATTCCAGATGACATTCAGTTAAGATAGAGACTTAATGACCACACTACGAGTCGTGGGGGGTTCTAGTCGAGGAAAAGAAGGAAAAGAAAAAAGAAGATAATTTTTTTTTCTTTGAGTGATAATTGTGAACCGAGGCCAGTCTAGCCACACCCACACTGCCGAGCATTCATTGGCTGAACAACAACAAAGATGAGGACATTAGTCTGAATGTAAATTCGGTAAATAATAACTTCTCATCTAAGAAATTCAGACAGAATTGAAATAAACAAACAAATCACATTTGTGCATATCTTTCCATTTTCTAATAACATCTCATCTTTATACAAACTTTGCTTAGAGAAGTAATTTCTAAGAAAAAAAAAAGAAAAGAAAAGTAAATGCTACAATAATGTTTATAATAGGCATAAGGAATTAAAACATTAACCCATTAGCTGTGGCAGAAATTTCAGCCTTTCACACTTGAAAACTGACAGAACTGCAATGGTGGAAATTTCTATTAAATGCAGTCAATAGGTTTAGAATAAACCCATTAAGGCCAAATATTTTCTGAGGACTCATAAAACAATTAACCATAGCTGGGTACATCAATGAATATTTGATATGAACTGAATTTAAAATATATATTCAAGTAAATGAAATACATAGACAAATGAGACAGTCTTCAAAGTGGAGCAAGTAATATACAAAGCAGCTTCAATCTCCAACATAAAAATATTTAGAAAATTGATTGCAATACTTTTACTATTAAAAGATTAATAAGTTGATTAGAAAATTCTAAAAACAAAGACACTTACTTGATGCTTTGACAAATGTTTACCTGAAGAGAATGGTTTCTGCAGTAAAATCAATGGTCCAGCACTCCTGAATGCAAATCAAAAGAACATTAACTAAATATATTTAAAAGTTAAAATAAAACTATTTTTTAGAGTTTTAATATTTTATTTAAATTAAATTTTAAAATAATCATAATAATAATTCATCTCAATCTCTTTTTATAGATTTATTAATTGACTATTTGGATATATTTTCCATGAACTTCAAAATCTTAATAAAAACTTGTAAATCAATAACAGATGTGAAAAGAACTTTAGAAATTGGTTCCCATCAAGAACATAACACATGGTTGACTTGTGGGGTAGGAATGAAGAAAAGTTTGGTCAGTTTTATCTTCAGATTATATTGCAAGCAGTGTCTTTTTTATTATTTCAGATAATCTTTTTCAATTTCTTAAGCACAAACAAATATTAAATGAAAAAGAAAATTTAAAGTGACTATAAACAATTTGATTCAATTTAAAAGGTCTTTATTTTATATAAGTGTAAGTGCATTGTTTAATGAAGTAACTTCAATAGCATATAAAAACCTGACATTTGATTGTAATTTCTACTGAAATCATATTGCAACATATTAACAAAAATTACTCTGCCTAGTTAACATCAGTGCATTCAAATCTGCTACTGCAAAAAAAAAAAAAAAAAAAAAACAAAAAAAAAAAAAATATCTGTAATTTATTGGCAACATAAATTGAAAATGTCTATATCAGATTGAGTTGATTGAAATTAATACATAAACAAGAAAAAATATCAACTATAAAGATGGGAGGTAAAAAAAAAAATGGTTGGTTGAGTTTGGTCACAAATGGGTTTGATATAAATGTAATTCAAACCCTGTTCACAATATTAAGAGATCAACTTAGCAATTGACCATCTTGTAGATGATGAAGAAAACAAATAAAATTGTATAAACACTCACCCAATTTTAATAATGCACAGAAACTGTATGACAGGAATCACTTTGAGTAGGTCATAGGACAAAAATAATCCAAAAGCTCGAAAGAATTTTGCTGTGACAAGTAATCCAATATAGATGACATTTCTGAAAGGAAAAAACAATAGATTTTAAGTTTGAAACTTGAAAAGGAGAAAATTCAAATAAACCTCTAATAATTGTTTATAGAAAAAGCAAAAACTGAAAATATTTAGCCTATTTACTGCCATAGTTAATTTGTCTTATGATAGTATGTTATACATACAATGTTAAAAAATATACTTAGTAACAAACAGAATAAAATCACAGCAGAACTGATGAATGTCAACTTTACACAATGCTTAAATATACAATTTATATAATTTTTTTTTACTAAGCACTGAGTGAAACAAAAACATGATAATCATTTAAGAATAAAAAAGTTTTGTATTCTATAGAAAGCAGGAAGAGACTTTTCTTATAACCTAAAAATATGAAATTTGCAATTGTTCATAACATAAAAAAAGGTAGGTTTTGAAAAAATTTTTTTTCAAAAAGCTATTTTGTATTTTCAAGAAATGACATTTTAATTCACAGGATTGTCAGCCACAAATCCACCCCAATTGTGTGTGTGTGGACATTGAAATCAACACCCAGCAACCACGGCGTTTCATGTTTAAATGCAATCTTCAGGCCATCAAATATAAATACTCAGAAACTTAAGAAATAATTGTGAATATTGAAAATAATGTTAGGTATTAAAATATTCATTTAATAGAGATTAAAAATTCAAATTACAGGTCTTTTTTCATTAGATGCTACCAAAAGTTAATTTTAAAGCATAGATACCTAAAAAGAAAAAAGAAAAAAAGTTCACTTGCATTTTCTTTTTCACTACAAAAAGATAAAAATTTTAAATCCTAACCCTTTTGGGGAATGAGTGTAAACTAATAAAATAAATTTAACATATCAATTCCCACTGGTTGTGAAAATTTTGGTCAGCAAAATGTTATGTTCTATACTAATAATATCTTTCTGATTTCAAACATTTGGCAATAGTAGCCTCTTAGGCAAAGTTGCAAAAATTTTACCACTTGACTGACCCTAAACTTACCTAACTAAAGAGATAAACTGAATGTTCAAGAGAAAGGCTGAAATGTCTTGATTCTACAACATCAAACAGAATTTTCAAGTAAGTTCAATTCTAGAGAATTAATCAAGTACATATTAACTTAAATAAAGTACTATAAGAAATTTTTATGAAGCCATCAGGTGATTACTTGTTTAACTGGTTCAACTATATTTGTTCAAACTTTATAGTAAGCAATTTCAGTTTAACAATTTTAATATTTCAAGCAGACAAAATTCTTTAGTTTCCACTTCCCCTTGAACTAATAAGTGTAAACACCATTCTTTAGTTATTAAAAAGTTCAGTTGACAACAAATTTATAGGATCATAGTGCAGTTTCTAGCAAGTGAGAGAGCCTCATGACCTACATTTCACTTAATTTAACAAAACTAAAACAGAGAGCACAATGGCTGAAATGTGATAAAGATTAAAACATTAATCTGAATGTGAATAATGAAATATTTGTTATCACCATAAATCAAAATTGTCTTATTAAATGTAGAGAATATCACTAATCCTGATGAAAGGGTTGCATAATGGTTCTTTTAACAAAGATGCTCTTAGCTGGTTCAGTTTCAGTACTAAAACAAGTTTTTCTCACTGATAGGCTATCCATGTACTTATAAAATCTGAAATATCAACAGATTAATAATTGATATATTGTTAGTCAAAAGAAAATGTATTCATGGCAGAGAACAAGAGAGATTTAGACTCAATTGAACAGGACTAAATAATTTTAAACTTTTCAAAATTCATTAGAACAACGGTTTTCTTAATATTAGCCCAATTCTTTTGGATCTTTCTTGTCATCTGAACATCTTCAGAATATATCAATACACTGGGAAGGCAGTTGTAAGTGCCACTCAAAGATTACAACTTGTAAAACCTTATAAAAAAAAATTAATGGGGCAACATCAGGAAGTTCAAAGTCTGACACCTATTAGCTGAATTTTTTATTACATAATATTCAAGCTATGTTATTACAAACAAATGTCATACAATCAACTTACATTTACATTAAAACCAGGATGTGTTCAAAATATCAGCATTATTTAAAGAGGACCAGGAAAAAAGTAGAAAAAAAAAAGAAAAAAAAGGAGTGTCAGTTTTATGGTGAAAAATTTTCACAAATAGTTTAATCTTTAAAAGAGTGCCTGGTAAGTCCACTGGATTTGGTCAAGTCTCTGCATGGTTGATTAGTAAGTTGAGAAATTACTTAAAAACTGATATCACTGATAAAAATTTAAAAAAAAAGTGTAAGCAAAAACATTTCTAAGCTCACAGTTACAAAAAAGATGAGAGCATTTGTCAACATCAGTTACATTCGGGTTTTTCCAATTAGCAATGGGGCAGGTTGGCATGTTTAGCTGGATACAGGCATCTCTGCTAGAGGTACAATGTATCTGTCAAAGATGACACCTCAACACTGATTGCACCCACAAATCAAATCTATAGATATGAGGTTTGGCTTAAAGAGATTGATTCGGTACCTCCAATGATGTCTAAGGTGGGCCATAATGTGTACAAGATGGAAGACAGGTGTACAACAACTTTTAAAAAGGGACAAATTACTGAACTTGTTAGTCCACAATAAGTCTTAGTTGATGGAATACCAGTTATGTTAGGGACCTTTGTCCTTCCCTGAATTCATGGTCTTCAACAAGTAGTGAATATATATCCAACAGTAAAGATGAAATCCTCACAAGCATGGATGAGCCAGATGATCTCATGGAGGAAGAATCACATGGGGACATAATGGAGGAACACGAACCAGTCCTACTTCAAAGAAGCACTTGACAAGAGAGACCCAATCCAAGCTGTTGTATCTATGATCAGGAGAAGTGTGGAGAAAGCACATCAGTACAGACACAAAAGAGGCCTTGGATTGTATGTGGACATGTTTGTCAACACCAGTTGCATCCAAGTTTTTCCTGTTAGCAGCAAGGCAGTTTGGCATGTCTAGATAGATATGGACCTCTCTGAAACTGGTCAAGATCCAGGTTTTAGCAAGATGCCTCATGCCAATAAAAACTGAGAGAAGACCAGCAGTTGGCAAGACATGGTGTCTTGTGAAGTCAGTCCTGTGAACATTTTGTTCCTTAAGTTGCTGTGGTTTCCAGGCAGTGTTATTTTTTGTTACCTCCCATCTCTTCACTCTCTCTCCCTATTATTCCCACCGTTGTTGGGCAAGCAATCGGTTTGGTGCACCCTGCTCTCCAATCTCAGACTTTTTGCTTACATTACAATAAGATTTTAATTTATAAATCCATAGTATGTATATTTTTTCTTTGAATATATGCAAAACTTTGAATAGAAGTACATTTGGTATTTGGAAGTGAAAAGGTTCATCTTTAAAAAAAAATATATAAAATTCATTGAGAAAACAAATGTAGCCTAGTCCAATTTTTTTTGATAATAGTTAACACTTGCTCAACTAAAACCTAAAACAAATTCCAAAACAGTTTGGTTTATGAGAAAGTGGGTTGGTATTATGAAAGTCAGTGATTAATTTTCTGTATTTTTGTTTTCATTAAAGTTTACCAATTTTCCACTACAATAAAAATATTAATATAATAAAAGTTTATAAACATAACTCAGAGAAACTAAACCACATTTTAAACAGGATTTTACAACATTAGTTTGTAAAATCCAATTTTTGGTCTTCCCTAGCCAGTACATTATCACCAGTATTCAATAATTTTTCCCCTTTCAATTAATCTGATTGGTAGCTATAAATACTATTTATGATTATTTTTTTGCTATCACTCATCAAAATCTCCTTTATGCACTCAAAGGATTTCTCAGGTAAATGCAAGAAGGAAGCATAGTCACTTTTACATGGAAATCAAATTAGTCATAGAGTAAAATTCTTAAAAGCAAATCACACTGTTTGCATGAGTCAATTCAAGACTAATATTTGTAATAAGCTCTATAATTAATCAATATATTCTTTGTTTGAATGCCAAAAACAAAATATTTGGAAAATTACATCCATGAGAGAGAGAGAGAGAGAGTGTATGTGTGTAACTGAACTTTTATTTTCTCGTTTTTTTTGTTTTTATAGCTGGTTTTTATTAATTTATTTTTCCTGATTACTGTTAGTGTTTTGGCATATAAGTTGTTAGTGGTTGGTTCCATGGTTTAAGAAATGGTTATACCATGTAGGATTCTTCATTAAATAGCTAAAACCAGAAGGTTATTTAGCAATTTTAGCTCATTCCCATGTCATAAATAATAATAAAAAATAACAGCTGATCTTCAAAAATTATCTTACCTTGAAGAAGGATAGATGGCCCGTGCTGGCAGCAGATTACTACTGTAAGCTTCTGCCATACTATATAAACTCTGGTGACAACCACAAAAATATAATTAATGTTGTAATACTATATCATTGTTGTTGATCATAATATCTTCCAATAGTTCGATGTACTAAATGATGTCTGGTTGAGGATTGTGAAGGAATCTGTTGATGATATTGGAGATTAAGATAATTTCTTGAATTATGGTCCGGGATTTGTTCTTTTTCTTGTTTTCTGAGAACATCAATATTTACCAGAAAGGAAGACATTTATAAATGACACCTGTAAACATGAAAATATCTCTTTAGTAATTATATCATGTTTTGAGGAAGAAAACACATGAAAGTATTATTGAACAAGCAAACACTGAATTACCTCCCCTGCATTCCTTTAAACTAGCCTCATATTCTGTGCTCTCCATACAATAGGATTTAATTTCAAATATTTTTCATAAGTGAAATATTTAATCTTCGCGAAAAAAAAAAAAAAAAGACAAAAAAATCTCAGATATATTTTCTTTTAGATACAATAAGATATGTCAAAAGTATTGTTTAAAGTGGTACGATCAACGACATATCCAACATACAAAAATAAAATAATCTAATGAAATGACGGGCAAATTTAGTATTGTAGTAGATCCGTACAATACATTCAAACAAATTCAGGAAAAATAAACGAAGGATTACAAAAAATAATAACAGAAAAGAAGTATTTCTGCAATAAAGGCAACAAAAAAAAAAAAAAAAAAGAAAAAAAATGATTAAACAATCAATTTTAAGAAGTGAAATGTCCTCGAAGTTAGGAGCATTTGTAATTTATCTTTTAAAGGAATATGAATTGAATACTGAAAATATAACGTCTGGTAAAGGTTTTCATTTTTATTAAAATTTAATTAACTGTCTTATTTAAATTTTAAAAACCAATACTTATGAAAAGTTTCTTAAAAACTTGACATTTCAAACTAGCCACGAACTTCCTGTAAACTGGAATCAAAATGTTGGATAATTAACGTGATTGGGAAATAAGATATTAAAAACTTAAAACCAGTTTAGAAATTAAAATTAATTATTTTTTAAAACTTTAACTTATTAAATTTCTGATTATAACGATAAAAATCAGTATCACACAAGTGGCAGTTTAAACATCACATAAATATTCATTGTCTGTAAAAATGTTTTCGGAATCTTGAATTTTCTTTAGAGATTAATTTAAACGACAAGCATAGTTACGGAGGAAAAAAAAGACTTAAGTTAAAAGAAACTCACAGCAAAAATAATTCATCGAAGAGACTCAATTAAAAAACGCTAACAACCGGTGAAGCAGGAAAAAGTGTCCGATTATTTCATATTTCACCGGCCAACGTGTCAGCATCAACACAACACGAGTTACATAACATGAACTAAACAAAATAAATTTTTATTTAACCAAGTTAAGCAGAATGATATTCATCACATATAAAAAGAACACAAATATAAAACATTTTTTCTGTGAAAGTATTGTAAATTATAGTATAGCCGAAGTAAACTTACTTCTCATTTTTATTTAAAATATAAAAACAATTATAAATTCGAAGATGATGTAGAACTCAAATTCTACATCATTTTTATTTTTAACACTAGAGAATAACTTGTCCAATTTTGCAAAAGAAAAAAAAAGCGGATCACAGAACAATTCCAGCTTCACACACATTTTCAAAAAACTCGAGTTCTGAATGCCAATGGTCAATAAACACGCAAGTGGGCGTTACTATCCACCCACGCATAAAAATATTTTTCCAGCTAATGACTAAGTTTTCTGTGAGCCACCCAAAGTAAATAAATAGAAAAAATTCGTGGCTCCGAACGACTTACCACAAGAATCCACGTCACATCAAGTTTTAACGTTTCTATGAACATTCAAAAATCTTCACTCACTGACCAATTCATTTTACGCAGAAGCCTGAACTTATTTTCTGCAAATAAATTAACTTCATATTTTCCAATCTTTCGAGAACATTGTCTCACAATATTAATCAAAGAAAGACAACTTCATTGAACTAAATTTGCATACATTTTTTACGTAAATTTAAATGAACAGTAACTTTCGAAGAGAAAATTTTCTCCTACAACTCACTTTTTGAAACTTCATACATTCTACCAAACGGCATTTCTTATCTGAACTCATCAACTAAAAGTCAAACAAACATAAATTGAGTTCAACACTAATTAAGCAAACCTAGATTTCATTAAAAAATCTAGGCCATTAAAAACCTTCTTTTTTTTCTTTTATAAAAATATAATGAAAGTTGTTTGTTTACCAAATATTGCTTTTTTTGTCTTTTCTCAAATTTGTTTATTACTTCTTGTTGCTTTGTTGAAGAAAAATTTAAAATTGTATGGAGGATATATAATTTTGCACGCAACCTAAAAAAATATTCTCATATAAATATCCCCTACAATGACACTTCTGTTTCTCTAATAATATTGTAGTGAACTACCGAGAGAAAAAAGCGGCCCAATGCTAGACTAAAATAACTTACCTTCAGCCGCAGCGCGAACAAAGATTCGAACGTGCCTCGCGTCTAAACTGCCCATAGAAGAAATTATTTATTGTACTAAGGTACAAATGTGGCACAAGGCCGAAAAGGGGGTTGGGGTAAAAGGACGGTCATCACTTGTCTTAGATTAAAACTTAGCTAGCCACATCCACTGACCCTATCATACTGAACAATATTCCTTTCACCAAAACAACACATTTAACCATACCTTCCTTACTACATACACCAAAATGCCTCTTTGACTCCATGAAAAAACCTAAATAATCCCCTTATGTACAAATATTGTCTGTGGGGGGAGGGGCATAAAAAACAACAACTTCTAAAAAGATCCCTAATGAAATATATACAAAATGACAAAATAATATTTACAAGAAACCAAATAAAATTAGTGTTAGTCATAAAAACCCCCACAAACTATTGAATGTGGCAGAAATATCAGTTAACCGGACGAAATCGATGCGGGACTTATGAAAAATAAAGCCACACTCATTCATCCCAAGCATTCACACAGGCACACACTCATTCATACACAACAACAAATACGAAAAACACACGCACGAAAACGAAAAGCGCCCCGCATCTACCAGAGAACTGACATCACTGACCACCTAAAACGAGGGAGGGGATGGGGAGTTAAACTAAAGGAAAAGAAAATGGGGACAGAAATAAAAGGGGACCAATGAGCAAATACACCCTAGCTAAGTTTACCAGAATAGAAAAACTAAAAGAAAAAATACAAAAAACCTAATCTAAACTAACTCCGGGATGGGTTGCCTATGTTAAACCCAGGAAAACAATATCCTTAATGCCTAACCGGCATCCAGATGCCACTCAAGGTCAGCCCCTTTTACTCGGCACATTCGCGCAAGAATCACCCACCTTTTGCTGAATTCCGATGAGGTGAGCCGCCGCCTTTCCGTCCTGATTTTGACTTTAAGCTGATGCTTAAAGAACAAGATCAGTTGGGAAGAAGTGAACTTCTCGCCCTCATGGAATCCTTTCTGACGCGTCGTCCAAATCACGACTCTCATAACCCCTAGTAAGCAACAGAACACATAGTGTTCAGCCTTCGTCATCTGCGGCACCACATTGCTACAAACAGAACTGGCTTCCAGGACAAAAACTTTCTGTGCAGCATGCGAACCATGAGGCCTTCAACAAACTTGCACAACGGCACTACCGCCCTGCACTGTAAGAAGGCGTGACCAATAGTCTCGACTTCCCCGCACAGCGACGACAGTTTGGATATTTCTCCAAGCCTGCTGAACAAAGTCTCTTGCCGACCCAGAGGGCTTCACGAATCACCAGCCAGGTGAGTGATGCCTCATCGTTATTGAGACATTTCAACCCGGGCGCCCAAGGCCATATCGAGCGAGCCTCCTGCTTCGTAAGACCGAGCTCGCCAATCAGATCATCTTGTACGGACCCCTAACTAAAACTTGATATAATGCCTTGCGAGACAACGCCTGGGCGTTGGAGAGACCATCCGAAGCCCGTAAGAGGGCTTCAGAGCGCGACGACATTCACGATAAAAAGAGCACTCGGCACGTGGTGTACGGCCGGCCTCTTGTTCGCACGAGTGCACACTTTTCAGGGACGGAAAATGTTTCTGGACGTCTTCTTTCCAAAAGGCACCCTCCTCATTCGACCCACGACACATTCGGTCTAAAAAGGTAATGCGGAGCATATATTGACGAATCTCAATGCTAGGCATCCCCAGACCGCCCTCAGAGGGATGGAGGCAACAGACCCTCGCGAGATACCATAGGGGCCTTGCCTCTCCACAAGAAAGAGAACAAGGTCCTGACTAATGACATTAGTCGGGCATGCAGGAGTGGAAGCACAGAGAGTCGGTAGAGGAGGATCGGATAGATGTGTGAAACACATACCTCCGCCCTTCCCTTCAGGAAAGTCTCCTCCGAGACCACAGATTAACCGCGATCTCGGCCTTCCCTTGTACCTCCGACCAGTTCATTTCCAACTGGAGATCAGGACCGAACCAGACGCCGAGTATCTTGATCGGCCCATCCGTCCAGAGGAAAGGTCCGGGAAGAAAACTCCCTTCCACGCACCCAACCGCAAGCCCACAGACTTATCGCGGTTGATCCTGGCCCCTGTAACCATCTCATACCCACTTATTTCTTTGCTGACTTCGTCAATCTCGGCTCTGCTCGACACAAGAGCCGAAACGTCGTCAGCATAGGCAGAATACCTGGCCGAGGTCTGCCCATAGAAGAAAGAAATGGCGGCTTCGCGGGTTACATATTTAAAACAGATAGACCCCGAAGTCTCATACTATCTCATGAAATTATCTTTCTTTACGCATATGTAAATAAATCTCTCTATCTGTCTTCTATTATAATACTAAAAAGTCTGTGATTGCTTGCGTGGTATGTCCGTCCGGCGCATAACGATTTAGATTTAAGTTAATAAGATTTAAAAATACGAGTTGTTTATCCAGTAAGTATTTTTATTTCAGCATTCTTCAAACAGACATTTTTTTTAAATTAAAATATTTCTAAGTTAAAGACAGAGACAAAATTATTCCGCTTTTGTTGTCTCGTCCAGTTGTTTGTAGGGTAATTATTTATATTTCAACTTTCTTTAAACAAACGATGTTTTAAATATTTCAAAAATATTTTTTGGCATATTTCAAAAATATTTTCAAGTGAATATGATTTAAGCAATATATTTTGGCATATTAAAAATATTTTTAAGTTAAGTTATTTTTAAGTTCAAGTTTATTCTGGAAGTTTTCTTCCTATTAAATGCTGTAAACAACCAGTAAAACGTTAATGAACTTGTAAACCAAACCAATGGTGACACGAACGAATTGAAATATTTAACTGAATCATAATAAAATAAAATTTCATTTTATGGAATGTTGAAATCAATTTCAATATTTTATAACCTAAACCGTCAGTGACCCAACGGGTCACGGGTAGTAAAAACAGGGAGAATGAGGCGACAGACAGAACGGTTTACTGCTGTTGGATTGGCTCAGGGTTGTCAAGTTTACTAAGTTGGTGCATTAAGAACCGGTCCTATTCGATTACTTTGTCCGGATTGACCAATGGGTTTTTGCGACACTTTTTAGTGTTTTGCGCATACAGTTTTTTTTAACACCTGACAGGATCCAATAGCTTTTTTGACTTCCTGCCATTCCTACGTTGTCCATAATGGACGAGGAAGACATTAGTAGAGCCGTCAAAGCCCTATTTGCGACCCCTGAAAAAAGTTCACTGGAACGTGTGAAAATGGACCAATCTACAACCTTGCAAACTAGCAAAGACATGGAAAAAGAGAAGGACAAGGAAAATTCGGCTACTGCCTTGGATTCTACGTGGAAGTCATCACCTCGATACGTCATAGACATTGAGGAATTTGTAAAGGGGGCTAGGCAATATGCCCACCTAGTCACACCAGACGGACTAATCATAAACCCTCCATAGTTGGAGGCTGTGGAGAAAAGAATTATTTCTGTTTTTGTGATTGACAAGAAACTAAACAAGTCAATTAAAGGATTACATCATTAAGATGTTAGCAGAGTAAATATCCAACAAATGGTCCAAAGAAAGAATTTCCCTATGTTGGAAATACTATTGTCAACCCCAGATGAATGTATTGCACTGACCAAGAGGGATCTGTAAAACAAGGTTTGCATATTGAGAGTCGAATACCAAGGACAACGGCACACACGTGTTACTGCTTATGAAGTGCCCAGCTTTATCTCTGGTCAACAGGT